GGGACTGGTAACATAACTGTTTATTAAGTATGTGTGGTAGACCACTTGGGACTGGTAACATAACTGTTTATTAAGTATGTGTGGTAGACCACTTGCGACTGCAGTTCTACTTAGTAAATTACTTTGTCCTTGAATCCATTATTTTATACCTTTATAATGTCAGTGAATACACACCTGACAAGTGTATACACTTTCTGTACCAGGACAAGAAGAACAGTCTCCCACGCGACGTGGAAGCACTCAGCGAAGTGTTCGAGGGAAAGAACGTGAGAACTCTCCTCTAAGGGAGGAAACTACTGAGTTGGCAACAGAAAAAAGGAAAACTAGAGGCAGCACTATCCTTGGTGAGAGGTTCATTTTTAGTGTTTTTAGACTAAGAATAACATAGTTAATATGTTGGTGTCCTCATGCAGTATTAACGTTCATTTTGATATACCGTATTTTTCGGAACATAAGATGCACCCTTATTTTGGGGAAAAAGAAGCTACAGTCGGATTCGAAAGATTTTTATTGAACAAAATTGAACTAAACTATAGATGCCTATTTAAATATATTTACACATGGCTTGTATATATCGTATATATATTATTCATACCTTCGGTGTATAGGACGCAAGCAGATTTTGACATCAAATTTTAGGGTAAAAAAAAGTGTGTCTTATACACCGAAAAATACAGTAGTTAATATGTTTGTGTCCTCACGCAGTAGTAGCATGATAATCTGAATTTCTTATTTCCACAGAACAAGAAGTGCCCCCTGTGAAGAGGAGGCGAAGTTCCCGGGACAGTCACAGATAGCCTATACACGTGTGTAGTTGTATCTGTCTGAATGCTATGCACGGCTCCATGCCCAAGGATTGTTGTAGAACACTTCTGCAACCTGGTGCTGTTGTGACCATGCACATCCTTCCTGCAGTCGGCATGTGTAAAGTGTAAATATGTTACTCTGTTCATCACAATGTAAAGTCCATCATCCCCCAGTGTCAAGTCCTTTTATGTTTAATTTGGCCTTGTGCCAAAAAAAATTATTTTTGTCTTGAAGCATCATTTAAAAATATGTGAAGTAGTTTAATGGCGTTTCATTTGCCAACACCGAAAAAAAAAAAGAAACTTGAATGCTGGTCTGTTCTAACTAAGGAACCCGAAAAGTGTGTGCATTTATTTTTCTTTAAAACTACTGTTTGTATTTCAGCATGGACCAAGACACCAGTCAGCTATGTTAAACACTGTGAATTGATAGGCCTAATGATGTAGGATTCTTACATTTTAGAAGTGAACAAATTTGGCCAATGGGCAGTGTGCATAGCCTCTGAACTGTGTATATACTAAATGTATAAATATAAATATATTAGTAGCTTTTCTTTTCATCAGATATCATGTGTATTATAAATACCAGGAGCATTCTCTGTCAGTGGTAAAGTAAACATGATTTTTTTTTTCAGAAACATCGAGTATAGTTCTTTCATACAGAATAAATGGGTCCTGTAATCTTATGAATATATTTGATCCATGTTTAACAGCTGTACAGGATCTAGGTTCTGAAGGCATTTGATGGTTTGTTGTAACTTTCATACCGGTATTAAATAACATAACACAGCAGAGTGTACCATTTTTTTGAGTTGAACTTTACCTTTTTAATTACATTAAAATCAAATAGACAAAACTGTGCTGGTGTTTTATTATTTTATTCAGTTACAGATAGCTTGTATAACATATTAAATCTGGATTAAGAATACTTTAGTTTGTATAAATCTAATCTGGATGGTCCCAACGAATTCTGCTTGCAAGACCTAGAAACAATAAATATATACGTTATAAGTGATGGTTTTAAACTTTAATTTCTCATACAGTAATAACACTTTTAGGTTAAGTTTTAAAACATTATCGTACAAACTGATAACACAAAATTGGTAAATCCCATACCTCAACAAGCAATTAAAATGCCTTTATTCTCCATCTGGTCTACACGATTGGAATACACCAGCCTGTCTCATTCTTTGGAAATCTTTCTCTGTATCATAGGAACTAGAAAACAAAACTGTCACTCTTATACAAGTTTGTAGGCTAAACTGAGGACAAAAGAAATTCACTCGTAACACAAGTATCATTATTTTAGAAAGACAGGAGAAGAGTACCCCTGTTTACGTCTTTTTATAAGTACATAGTTTGTTGTCATTCTTAGTATTTGAAAACTAACATTTTCTCATTACTTGTCACGAGTAAACTCTAAAATTGTACTTTTTACTTGAGACTTACAGCTATGCAATCTGTGTGTTAAAATAATCTGAACGTTGTTTAATATTTGAGGAAATTGCCCATAGGACCAATTTTACCAAACAAGGTGTTGATCTTTTTTCAGGGTTCAGTTTTGTAAATATTGATAAAAACACAAAAACCTATTTCAGTAATGCTAAGCTAGGATGAGATAAAGAAAATATACTGGTTATATCCCGGCAATAATTTCCAGTAACTTTTTTAAAGAATAGTGGATATGAACAAGTCTTACTATCTAATGCTAGTTTGTTTTTGTGCTTCTCATACAAACAGTTTACAAAATATGTAAATTTCTCAGCAAAAGATTTACTAAACCAAGATAATTTTAGTACACAAAAATCAGGTGATAGTTTCAGGCTACAGGCAGATGTTGAAAATAAACGTAATATCAGTTGTCCAAGAAGATATGATGATGCCGTGCACAAGATCTTGACTTGTTAGCTGTCTTTGGCTCACCGTGAGTAGAGATGGGTGATAATGATACTTGTTAAATGATTATTACAAAAATTGTAATTTTAAACATCAACAATCTTCAGCATGTGACTTCGTTTCATACTGTATATATATATATATATTCCTGTGTCTAGGTAAACTAACTGCACGTGATTATGACAAAACCTTCTCCAAACATTGTACATTTGTTACTGTGTTAAACTTGTAATAAAGTTTTCTTTGTTACCCATTCAACCCGTCTGTAAACTGTATAAGCACATATCAAGTTGTCTTATGTTTTCTGATCTAAGAACATTTCTGTAACATTCTGATGTGTAATTTATCATAAATATTTTCACAAGTGAAAGGTAAAAAATATCAACACTCTGCTGTTGTGCAGAAACCAAAATATGGACTTTTTTCATGAATTACAAGAGGAAATCGTATCTTCGTACAATGATTTATAATCATAGTTACTTTATTTAAGAAAATGTATCATCACCCGATACAACTGTATTGTTTAACATATCAATATTTTGTTTTAGACAATGTTGGAGCCTTAAGTGCTGTATCTCTGAGCACAGTTATTCAACTAAGGAAAATTATAATAACTCATGATGTGAATGCATTCTTGGCCAAGCCTAGCATCTTTTAAATATTCTTCACATAGCCTAAATTTAGAATAATATTTTGTAAAATAAAACTTGACGGTTATAACTATATCTTACAAACAGAATTAATATAGTATTTTGTTATGCTAGGCACGGTTAACTTTTTAAAATTTAGTTGTGTAATACACTAACCAATGTTTCAGTATTTTTTTTAAATGAAACAAGAGAATAATAATATTTTAGATTAATCCATGTGATATAAATAAATCAAACAAAGATCCGATGATTTCAAAGCTTATATCTTTAGCTCTAGTAACATAATTAAAAACATATTTCCGATTTTTTTTACAGCATTAAAGAATATTACACAAATGGAAAAATCCGGAAATTTACACTTTTTAATACTCAAGTAACCAGAAAGTTGGCAATATCACCAGTTCAAGATTACTAACAGTAGCAAGACAGTCTTAGTAGCTTTACCATAACAAAGATAGGACAAGCAAGTTTGGTGGCATTGGGAATCGAATCACATGACCATGAAACAATACCTTCTATGGACAGAGTACAGATAGCTCATTAAGTAGCTTTGCACTTAACAACAAACAATGGTAATAGCAATATTTCAATTAGTTTTGATTGGTAGATTATTTCCATGTTAATAAATTTAATCTTAGCTTTGATTTACTGATAGTATAATTGAAAACACTAATTTTGATTAGTTTATTATTTTCGTGACATTATTCGATATTTTTTAATAATTAAATAGTATATGTGACACTAATTAATATATTCACTGCTCACAGATAATCAATTAAATCATCCAGAAATAAAATTCAAAACTATTTGCAAATAGTTTTTCAAACTGTAAGGTTTTATGAAATGGAAGATACTGAACTCTCACGTTGTCTATGTGATTATAGTTCTGAAAAATTCCATCAACACATTTTCTTCTAGTACTTGTCATTTCAAGTCTCTAACACAGAAACACTCATTTAGAATCTTGAAAATATTTGTTCTGTGCATTAAAAAGATTACTGATTAATAATTATTTTTTACAGTTTATCAAGTTATATTAACTCCATTGCTCCCTCATGACAATTCATAGAAAATGTACTTAGTAATAATGAACAGTACAAACTTTAAGCTATGTACCTCTGCCTGCAACTATTTTTAATGTAAAATAAGCTTAAGACTCACTTGGCAGAAATCTATATTCACAGAACTGTTTATAAACAGAGAGAGATACAAATTAAAATGGTAATAATAGAATGAGTGTTATTAACTTAATTCATGAAATAATAAATACTAAACACAACTATCAGCTTATACCCGATAATCGGTCTCGGCCAGGATATTTTAAGTGACAGTTTGGGCCACATTACTAAATATTTCTGAGATGGACTTTGTCACTTGTTATCAAACCGAAGTGTGGAAATGTTGAAGCATACTTTAAAGACTATAAATGATTAATTCATTAGCGTTTTGTTGAGCAACACATGCTCATTTAGAATTTCTTTTAACAGCTTGTTTCACAGCCCTTTTTTTACTTCAATAAATGTTTTTCCAAAAGTTCAGTGATATACAAAACTTTGATCCAGCAGGGCTGGGTGTCAATACTTCTATTAATATGCTACTAGAACAAACGCACAATATTTACAGTGTGCAAAGTATGCACACAAAAAAATAGAAAGGTTATCACTGTTCTTTTTCTATTTGTAGATATTATTACCCTAAAGTTTCTTGTATCAGTTACTGCATTTTTTTATAAATCTTTAGCAATTTCATTTTTTTTCCATTTGTTTGTGTGAAACACATAAATTGTATATTATGCCAGAAAAAAATACTTCAAACACTAAAACTATATTCTTATGATCATAAAAATCCAAAACTTTCCAAACCTCATGGATAATTTCAATATATCTGGAAAAAAAAATCATAGGTACTTACTTGTAGAAGTCAGCGTACCGTTTCTTCCTCGGTTCTGCTATAGCATATTTCCAAGCGATTCCTGAAGCTATTGAGAGAACAGCTACAATTCCGAGATGCATGCGAAGGCTAGTTCGTAGCAATCCTCTTAACTCGGGTTTGGGAATTTTCTTTACTGCTGCCGACATTTCTAGACAGTCAAGAAAAACTAAGGTAGTCTCAGCCCACAACCTGTGGCACAGATGCTTACAACTTCTATACTTGGACAGTTGAAGTATAAACTTTATTTCTGTTACTTGTTAAACTAATTAAATAAAACTAAAAGCTGAAGAATTTCATCTTATACGTACACCTTATTAAAAGTGTTTTTAATAATAATTCTCTGCAACAATGCTAGTACCCTCATTATTTAATTTCTGTAGTGCATATTGGTGTATAAAAAACATATTAATAGTAGAAATAAACGACCTTATAACACCAAAATGTTATTTAATTATACACCTTTGGTGTTATAAAGTTGTTTATTTCTACTAGTACTAGATTCTTGTATTAATAATGCAAGTACCCTGTTGTTTGCATACGATCCAGGAATTATTAACATAGCCTAACTAACACTTTCAAATAATAATTATACTACTACTGTATTAATAATAGTAGTAATAGAACTTATATTTTTATAAGATAGAACAGTAACGTTACTCATTAGAACTTACATTTACAAATACAACTTATAGTTATATAATAATGATTGGAGACGGCTTGAATGGGTAATGAATAAAAACTTTAATACACGTTTTAATGACAAAACCTTGTACATTTGCTGTTGTGTTAAACTTATAATAAATTTTTTCTTCATTACACATTCAAGCCGTCTCCAACCATTATTAGTCTCAAAGTGGTTCATCGTCATCGAATTTATAGTTATACAATTACAAGAGCCCAAAACATTATTGAGATCCAAACACCACTATTTCTTTAAAATTATTATGCACATTTGAGTTTTTAAGTAGATATAAATTGAATTCCCTAATATCTACGCGTAAAAATTTAAATGTTGAAAATCTGAAACTTACTTCCTCACGACCTTTCTTAATTTTCTGAAAATGGCCTTACTCATTTAAGAGAAAGGGCGCATGCGTTACCTTACTAAGGGATACTAGCTGAAATTAAGTTGAAAAGTAAAATTAAATTTATATAAGTCAAATTTAAAATCGTTATCCCAAATATATACATTTTAGTTATAACTTTGTAACTAAACTTTTATAGATATTAATATATTTATTCATAAATAATATTCGCAAAGCATAAAGTGATTCATTTTTCTAAGACATTGAACAAGCTAATGTTTAGCATGCTAACGTGAAACAGACTGTTATGACTTCAGTTTCTTTTTTTTTAATTGGTTTGATTGAAATAATATAAACAAGCACTTTTTCACCTTTTAAACATACAATTTATATCCACTTTCTAGTACTAATTAATTAAACATAAATCTTAGCTTAAAACAAATTATCTATTAAAATCGAAACGAAAAATAAACAAATCAATTCTGGTTGCTTTGATTAATCAAACGTATATATACATTTTCATACAATGTCTTCCTTTTTATGGCTTCACAATTGTTTTTGATTAAACCTTCAATTAGCAACATGTTTTTATATCGTTCACTACCGGCTGGGTCCAAATATAGGATCATAGTGGCTAAGTATCCTAAAATCAAAGTATTATAACAACTTTATTGAAGTTTAACCCACTAATAAATTACCACGTTTTTGATTTTTGAGTACAGTATTTTGTTCATGTGTAATGCACATTTGAGGAAAGAATGGTAATAAAGGAAACTGTATCTTAAGCAAGAATGGCTCCTCGTGAGTAGTAAAAGTACTCCACAGCGCTGTAGTGACATTGGAGACTTTTTCTGTATCTATCCTTTCACGTGGAATTGAAGAGGTTAATATAAAAGAATCCGCAAATAATTTGATATGAGAAATATGTTATATGTTTTATTGTGGAGATTTTCAATTTTGGAGTTTAACTAACCCGAGTATTTCAGTCGTTACATTCCACCTACCTCCGATCACTCTATTAACTTCGTAAATCGATCATAGTGATATGGAGGGCGCTGAGTTATTCGAGTTAGCAGCTAAACTAAATATACAAGCAATAATTTTTTTTTTTTTTTGCAAAGTATTATGTATAGACGGCAACGTCAAAAAGTACAAACAAGGTAGGGATGAATATAAAAAAAAAATCCGTATATACCTAGTCAGTTAGTACCGAGTCAATCTTACGTGCTTGTGGTTATTAGCTATTGTTCAGTTTAAATGCTTTTATTCAAACCTGAATTCATGCAACTGACAGGAATTCAACATTTAGTTGTAGATAAAAGTTAATCTTGGAAAGATGAGGCTGCTTACTTAGTGATTTTTGTATAGCTTTGTGTATTCATCATTAACTTTTTGCTATAATGGGTAACTGGGAACTACCTAAAGAGATGGTGTTTATATTTCTTTTCCCATTATAACAAAACAAAAAATTCTCGCAATGTCTAGTACGACAGAAAAGTATTTTCTGAGAACTTTGAAATAGGCTATTGCTCAACGCGGTAGTGCTTATTATAAGCTACAAAAGTCTAGAGCAAACGATGTTATCATTACCTCTTGAAGAAAGCTTCCTTACAGGAATCTGATGTTCCTTTAAAAAGCTTAAGTATAGGGTGAAACTGGAATTACCAGCCAATAACAGACGAACATTGGATGACTGTAACATGTAGAATATTCCATAGATTGTACACTATACAATCAGTGTCTTTAGAGAGCCAAACCCTTTATTATGTATGAAGTGAAGGAGTTAAAAAAATTAATACACGTAATATTAAATTTTATTACATATTCATAGAATACACTAAAAATACAGGGGAAAAACGTCGCAAAACAAGTAATAAAAACATTTTGTAAATTTAAAATGATGTAGGAATGGAGATGCCAAAAAAGTGAAGAAATATAAACACCATCTCTTTAGGTAGTTCCCAGTTAACATTTTAGCAACACTTTACAATGAGTCTCACGAGCTGTGAAACCCTTCATTATAGTAATTAGAAGCTCAAATAAGGCTATAACTCAACCTTAACAGTTATTTGTATGCACCATAGAGAAATAGATTGAATACTGTAGGCATTGTTTTCTTGGCTCATCCCTACATACTAAGCACTATCGCATTTAGTGCTAAAACTTGGCTATTACTAATGATTCCCAAGTTCCTTCTGCCGATCTGTATGTACCGCCACCTATGGACATGTTTTGTCATTTCAATCAAAATGAATCCTTTCTGTGACGTAAATAAATAAAGTATGAATTTAAGCTACGCATGTTGAAGTTTACCACAGATTGATCTGTTTTTATATACTCATAGCGAAACTAAGTAACTATACTTTAAATTTAATCAAAATAACATTTTTCATTAGTGTAATTAAGAAACAGTACGAAATGCATCATTATGAAAACCATAACGACTTTAGACGTTTGGTTTTATGACTGCTCAATGGAGGTAGCTTTAGTTGTCGTTAATAATTTTTTTCATTTGATAATTCATCAATTGTAGAAACGTCCGCGCCGTAGAACAGCAACGACTGGTCAAGTTTTAATACATAAAAGTTCTGATCACGCCTGTTGCAGAGTTCCTTCGTTCTTACAAGGTTCTTTGTGGAGCAGAATGTCCAGTCATTGAAATATTCTACCTTTGATTTTTTAAATGATAGTGAGACTTAAGTTTAAAACTCTTGTCCTGATGCCTTTTTCTTCTCTAAACAGGCTCGTCATGAATAATACATCTTAGAAATTTTGGGTATTACTTGAACGATTATAAAACTGGCATTTATATTCGAAAAAAACTATCTATTTCATTATGTCTTAAAATCCTTTAAAACATTTCGTTCTTACTGTGCTTTACATACATTGTGAGTGTAGCAAGTTTTTTTATATAATTAAGACACCTTGAATTGTTCTAAGTACTTTTTCTTGTGAACTGTGAGAAATAAAACTGTTATTGTGAATCAGTAAACAGATTACAAGTAAATAGACTTGTAAAACATGTTCCATTGGTTCACTAAACGGTCTGTCATGTGTGTTTGTTTGCTTTTTGAATTTCGTGCAAAGCTACACGAGGGCTATCTGCGCTAGCCGTCCCTAATTTTGCAGTGTAAGACTAGAGGGAAGGCAGCTAGTCATAACCACCCACCACCAACTCTTGGGCTACTCTTTTACCAACGAATAGTGGCATTGACCATCACATTATAACTCCACCACAGCTGAAAGGACAAGCATATTCGGTGTGACGGGGATTCGAACCAGCGACCCACAGATTGCAAGTGGAGCGCCCTAACCACCTGGCCTTGCCCTGACATGTTTGACACCCAACTGACAAGCTACAGTTGATTAATGAGGTTACATCTATGAAAAATAACAGCTTATATTTTTCTAAAAGTTTCACCTAAATCCAACAACTTTCTTGTTAGAAAAGTATCCTTTCCTATCATTTAGAAGAACCAGTAAACAAGGAACAAAACTCCAGACTATCCAGTGGTGTATGTAACATTATTTAGAAACCACTACCAGAATTTCTTGTTCCTTGCCCTGCCACCAACTACCGGTTGAGGGAGATTCTGTGTTATTAAAACTTGGGATAATATAAGATACTACATACAGGTTAAAAAACTGGTTCTGAACTATATCCCACTTGAGCTGTTTTCAGTTTACTACATTTTGTTTCGAGTGAGATTAAAGATAAACACATAAGCATGGACTTGAGGATTATAGTTGTCACCACGAATATTTGCTGTATTTGTAGAAACTCACTTAGAACATTGGCCAAATGGAACATGTTAACAATTTTTTTAAAATAACTCGAGTTGGTTAAATGTGAAATAAGTACTTTGTGATATTATCAAATAAACTTTTATGTTCTAACAATGTATTAATTACTACTGTTTCATTAAAAAAGCCAGAATTAAGATTACTAAAAATTCAAAAGCATTAAAATCTAAAAACCTATAAAATTGGTGATGCATCAAATAAAAGTAACCTTGAAAAGTTAAGTACAATTGAAGTGAATGAAAGTAATGCTATTGTTGACTTTAATGAAATAAATAACCTTAAAATGTCAAAATATTTATTGGAAATTTATTGATAATCTGAACAGTACATCTGTCAGGATTCACACATCAGCTATTGTTACTTCAACCTCCACACCAGGCTCGATGTTGATTGATGTCTAAGTACGAAATTAAGGGTATAAACAGAGAAGTGTTTTAGTAATATATCATAGTTACTAAACATTTAAAGATTTTAAATGTAATCACTTCAGTTCAAATATTGATCAGTCCAAAGACTGGAATAAAATTTTGTTGTAAACCGTATAAATTAAAAAAAAATGGTTCAGTGGAAAAATCAGCAAATAGAACATCGAACTGTATCATAAGACCGTCACTGATTCAGTGACAAAATGCAGTAAGTTATACAAAAAAACTTCATTCAGTGTGAAAACAAAAAACAGAATAAATCTAATTTAGTGCAGTTAACAGTAAACCTGACAACATTCCAAGTTAAATAGCAGAGGAAATACAGTAGTACTATGGCTAATAGACTAGACAGCCTGATAAAAATTATATAAAGTTTGACCAACGGGATAAAAACAATGGAAATGCATATATTACTATTTCACTAGTAAATTTTTAAAGCTAATTATGTTGTAAAATAAAATGTTTGCATAAATTGATTTTACCAGTATCTTATAAACCTATAAAACAGCACTAACAACTACTGAGCTAGCTGATACTGAAAGTCAGTGCAAAATTAGAATTTCTTGAACACAAGGAAAGCTGGATAACTAGTACAACTTTCTAAGTAAGAAGAAGAGTAAGCTGATGAAGCAAGATTCCTTGTGAAACATGAACAAATTACGGAAATGCTACCATTGTGTCCCTTCTGGCAGTGAACACTATAGCAGACACTATGTGAAGTTCAAATGTTACTATTCATTCTTCTACTACAAACCCCTACTGAACTTAAGAAAGAAACAATGTGAATAAAATCACGGAACTTTCCGAGACGTTTTAAACTGCCCTATCATTCAAACATTATGGAATCAAATTAATTTTCACTTATGAATGAATTAACATTTACAAACACTTTTCATTGTTTCTCAATCTAAGCTTTGCTCTCCATAAAACAAGAACATAATGCATAATCAAAACTTTACAATTTTCAAGACCGTGAACCAATAAACTAAAAAGGATACAATCTGCTTCACAATCTCAGATGGACTGTGAAGATCAATCAGTCGTTTGTGGATTCGCATCTGGTAACGGTCCCAAGTCTTTGAACCTTCACCACATGGAGTCTTACGTGTTGTGATCCTCAGAACTTTAGTAGGAATTCGCACAGGACCTTTTACTTTCAGTTCTTTTTCCTTTGCTCCATGGATGAGTTCAGCACATACTGGAAAAATTGTTAGTACTTTAAATTTCTAAAAACACAATCACATATTATACAAAAGAACAGTAATTAAACAATACATTACCGAACAAATATAAAGGCGTATAGAAAACAATACCTTTTTCAAGACTCCGAACATTTCGACTTGTCAGGGTAATGCGAATCCGATGAATGCGATGACTTTGTGCATCATCAAGAGGCTTACCAGTATCCTTGAATGTTGTCTTAAAATAAAAATTAGTTATGTAACTAAGACATAATCTGCCATTCACATTTATAATTTTGAGATCTTTAGCTTTAACCAAACTGCTAAAAATGGATCACACAAAATAAAGTACATGATATATTACACATTATGACGAGTAACTCATCAACTCTTCTGGCACATTCTTTAGTTTCACATTTTTAGCAGCTTTCAAAAACAGTAATGCAACAATATCTACTCTCTCTCATAACAATTGATTATTAGACAGAATTCCAAACAGTGAAAGCTTTAAACAAGTTTTCTAGTTACACCATCATTGGCAAGTTGAGAGAGAAAATATTGTACTGGTAACATATAATATTTTATGGAACAGTTTAATCAAAATTAATGAAAAATTGAATTTATACAGCCAAACATATTCAAAATTAGCTCAAATTTTACACTAATAGTTGAACTTGTTACAACCAGTTGGTTCACATACTGGTATCATTATTAACAACGTAAGTAATTTTATTCCTCTCTAGTTCATTACACCTAACTGGTTGATTTAGTAAAATCTTAAAAGAGAATCACTTGTCAATCATACCCCAGCTGTTATAAAATAAGTGTCAAGTGAATACACCTGGACAGACAGACACCAATTTAAAACATGGCCATGGGCACAAAGTAGTGTGAATGTGCTCATCTCAGAAGAACATGCAAATAATGATAGTTATTAAAGGTTATTACTCCTTACATTTACACTGAATGCAACATCAATCAAAACACTGTACTAATAACATAATCATAACATTTTTGGTAGCTCAAAACCACTGTAAATGTAAATGCATGGGATTATCATTTTCAGCTACACTATTTCAGTGGATTCATCTTTAAAATGGTATTAAAACATTTTCTGTTAGCAGTATAACACTTCCTAAACCTCCCTTCAAAATACTTCACACAATATTTTGGTTTTCTTATGATTTAAGCCTAATGCTTAACCTTAGAATTGTTTAATCTTTCGCTAATTATGTACCCTATATTTAGCTATTTTATAAAGAATATAACTTCAGGTTTTATTTCAATATAGGATAAGTTAAAAAAAAAAAATTGACAAAAGCAGATCTAGGGGTTGATATCTTGAGCCTAACGCTACTTATTCCTAAACTCTGTGAAAAAAAAGACACAGTGAAAGAAAAACGAGAATCAACAGTGCGCCATTACTCGGATGTATGAAAATATAGCCATAACCTTACTATTAGAATTAGGCCTAGTGTGAAAACTTACTCAGAACATTAAGCCTAACGATGTTTATTATACTTGTTTTTCTGACATTATAATTTTTGTTGGGAGACAAATAAGTACAACAGCTAGAATTTAAACAATTTCATAATTACCATGTCAAATGTATCAGTAGTTTCTGGCCGACTTAATCAGCAAAAATTAACTGAACAGCGGTGAACCAGAGAAATCTTCAACCACTTCTCGGACGTAAACCACGTGAAAGAGAAATAATGGGATTGGTATCAAGGTTTTTGACACGCACTGGCGTTCGAATGACGTAAAAGAACGGATATTATAAATTGTATTTAAAAATATTTTAAATATCCGAACGTATTTATTTCAAATTCCGTGTAAAATATACTAACCAAAATTTTAAACGTTTTTTCATTTCTATATCATACATTTAAATCCTATATTTTGAAACTTTTTAAATAAAAAACTAAAGAGAAACTATACTTAATTATTAAACCAACAACCAGTAATTTCTCTAAATCTCAGTACGCGAGTATTATTATCATAAAAATATTTTATTTTTTTACAAATTTAAAGAATAATGCCATGTTCATTTATGCTTTTAAATTTAAGAAAATATTTTTTTCCGTTTACATATTTGTGCATATACTTCATAAGATTTCTGTAAATTCAAGACCCTATCCTTTTTTTTTAATATTTATAAGTTTGCATACTTATAAAGCTAAAAACCGGGTTTCGATACTCGTTATAGACGTAACACAAATAGCCTATTGTGTAGCTTTGTGTTTAACTGCGAACGAACGAACTTTCGTTTATTTATAAACTTTAGATTAAAAAAAAAAAAGATCGACTAGGGTCCATGACATAAACATCAATTTTGTAAAAGCTCCCAACATATTTAATATCATTAACTGTACAATGACAGTATTGTTGATTCGCCTCACAGTACTAACAATTAAAACACAGCATACTAAGACTTCCAAGTAAAATATGTTTCACCATTAAGTTTTACACGGAATACGGTATTGAAGAGTATCTGGTATGGTGAGAAAAAAAATGGACACAAAAGTTCGTTTAGAAACTTACCGACAGCGTAATGCGTTTTTAAATGTTTTCCACCTCTTTAAATAAATAAATATATATATTTTTTGAATTATACTGTTTTTCACAGTTCAGTTCCCCAGTCGAATACTGCGTTCAAGTGAATTACTAACATTTACTTTCCTTATTAATAACAGCATTGTTTTTACTTAGAGAGCTGAGTCATTGTTGTTGGCGAACTAGAAATAGCTGGAAATGGACTCTCTCTTGATTATCACTGCTCACTTGGTCAGACAGGAATCAAACACTTATTTTTTGTGATAGAACTCTAGTGTTTATTGGTGTACTTAAGACAGTGTTGAGGCTTACGAAAATATAATTTTACACCTGAATACTGGTTAATGCTAGGTTTTTATTTTTTGTAAAGGAAGTTTCTTTGATTTTTCTACTATTTATATTATATTTTTCTGTCAATAATTTTTAACATCTACAAAACTCAAGATTGATAAACATGAATGAAGAGGCTTTTAAATTTTCTTTTAATCTTGTGGGCAACTTTCTCCAATGTAAGAATTACCAAAGCCATTTCATGTAATTTGATACAAGAATCCTGAAGTGATCTAATTTTCTTGCTTATAGAAATGACATTTTCAGATCTAAATTCATTTTATTGTATTTGTATTTAACTAGGTTTTTTGGATGGAAAAGCCTAGGGATATAAGGTATAATACAATTAATTTTTTTTTATAAATCATTAGTTGTATCTTTAGGATCTGGTGGCTATGGCACTCAATTCACAACCTGCAGGTCACAGGTTTGAATCCCATCACTTTTGGCCATGGGAGGCATTATAATGTATAGTCAATCCCACTATTCATTTATAAATTGTAATCCAAGATTTGGTAGTGGATGGTGTTGACTAGTCTGTCATCACTACTAGGATTTCCATTTGTGTTCTAAGATCTATATTTGCATATATACATTGCCTTACCCTTTCCTTGTTTCTTTTCTTCACAAGCAACTGTTCCTATAGTCCAGGGTTTTTGTACCGATACCAAATAACAGAATATCTAAAACTGTCCATTAATCTTAAAATAAAGCAGCAAAAATAATGTACACATTAAATAGCATTTTGTCTCGGAAGCTTTAACTCTGTATCGAAATTTCTTAAGAGTGTAATATAGAGCTTTATATTAAAATGAATTTGAAGCCTCACCAAGTCATTATAGCCCACACTGCCATATTCAGTAATGTTCTATCTGACAACTGTACATACTGAAAATAGCGCTGCAATGTAGTCTTCACTGCAAAATCTCCATCATGTCAAAAATCCACCCCTCCTCCCTACATTCTTTCCATAAGCCCTCTAGTGTACGAGGATGATGGATTTCTAGGACCTTTTTCAACAGTCCGTTCACACAGAAATCCATAGATCATGTGTCTGGGAGCTTGACTAGTAAGTCTTTGTATAGAATAGTATTAATACCCATTTGATTCTTCAGCTGCTTGAGGTAAGTAACAGTTGAACAGATGTGTCATGGAAGCAACTTGTGTACATGTGACTTGTGTTGATTTTCTAGAAGGATATCCTTCTTGATAATATTACATACTGTTGCCTGGAAGATTTGGACAGCTTTTGCTACTGAAGTTTGTGTTATGTATTTTGAACTGCTACATGACATGGAACTTTGCTTAACATGGCTGGGGTATAACTTGTTGCATATTTCTATTTGGATGGTCCTGGGACCCCAATTGATCCATATTCCTTTGTTTTTCAATGTTGTTAAGTGCAAGTGGTATCCCTGTCTTGGAAGTTCTTAATCTTCAATCTGAATACATCTTTATGTACAAATATTTTACATCAGAAAGGGCTGTTATATAACCTTCCCAAATACATTTTAGATGGCATCAAATTATCCAAAAAATCCAAAACAATTTCAAAATGTAGTTCTAATTCAGGCCGTTCTATTTCAACTTTATATCAGCTGTGGTCATCACGTGACTTGCTGATTTGCATATTCAAAATCATTTTAATAATGTACTAAACCCTCTCAATAATAGTGCAAATGTTTTTAATGTGTTGCAAGTTCCACTGTTAGTTTGTTGTTTTACATTTTGGCTTTACATTTTAGTCGACTTCATTGTTTCCTAAAAGACAATTTTAATTCCTAACACTACTCAAACATTAGATTCATCATACAGTGTTTTATGGCTACAAAATGTTTTTTTTTTCACAATTACTCAGCGATAACTGAAAAAAATAATTTTATTGTTTATTTCATAGTTTTTGAATAATGATAAGAATTAGTTACAATCAACTCATTTATAAGAGCTGTGGTGTGTAAAGAATTATTACTGCTGAAATAATAGTTATATTTTTATAACACTATCGTACATTTTGTACATGAAATATTTATTTGGTTTAGCTAAAAAAGACTAACATGTTTGGTTCATCTATTTAGGTGCAGTCCTCCATCAATTATTAAGACCTGGAAACAAACAGAATTTTATATTACTTTTGTAAATTTATTAAAGAACATTAAAACCTAAGCTAAATTCTAAAATAGATTTTGGAAAATGAAGACCTTTTGTGACGGTTTTACACAAAGTCTTTAAACAAATAAACATTTGAGACAAAACAGAGTAAGATAAAATTACTCTACTGTAAGAACACACAATATGTATGGATTAAAATGAGCAACATGGTGAAGAGTTTTACTCTCTCCTAACTACTGTTCCTTTTGTGTGCAGAACTTTTAAACCCAAAATCAAATTCTCTATCAATTTTTTACTTCCATGGATGTCTAGTTGTATCCTTCAGGCAACATAAACATGTTGACTTAGCTGAGTTACGGATGAGATTTAAAAAATTAACATTACTTTGAGATTTGTCCAAAAACACACTTTCCGTCTGCAATTTTCCTATAAACATAAAGTACCGACACAAAGATGATCCACAAAAACATAAAGTACCGACACAAAGATGATCCACAAAAACATAAAGTACCGACACAAAGATGATTCACAAAAACATAAAGTACCGACACAAAGATGATTTACATTAACATATAGTATTGACACAAAGATGATCCACAAAACATAAAGTACCGACACAAAGATGATCCACAAAAACATAAAGTACCGACACAAAGATGATCCACAAAAACATAAAGTACTGACACAAAGAATACAGTTTATAATAAATGTTTCTTTGTTTAATAGAGTGAAGACCACTGTGATTATCTACATTAAACAATTTTCTCTTTACCTCTCCTGTAATAAATGGTGATGTGGCTAGAAAGAAAACTCCTTCTGCAACATCTTCAGGAGCCCCTATCCTACTTAATGGAACTTGATTTTTAACTTGTTCAATGTCCATATTCTCTGTCATGCCAGTCTGAATTATACCTGTCAAGTGGTGAAATTTTAAGAAAATAAAACAATTATTATATCTCTTACATATTATGCTATTTTCCATTTTCAGAATAAAATGAAAGCAGTATTTCTAAACCAATATTAATATAATCAAATTACTAAATAACTTTATATTTCAGAACTTTGTTTAAAATTGTAACAAAACTGATAATTAAAATATTTTTTAATGTATTTGTTTAACGAACATTTTATTAACATATGTTATTGGGGAGAAGTTTCTTTATTCTTGACAACATTTAACAAAGATTTGTATTTTATAATTGCACAGTGAGTGGGCCTATATTCAGTCCTTTGCCATTAAATATAATAACATAAGCTATCAGCTAATTTGTGAAAGACAAGGTGGACTTAAAAAGTTTTCTATTATTGATCAGCTACTGGCATCATGGGTTAAAGATTTCTTATTTTCACATTGTCATTGTTTCATGATTTTACTACAGAGACTAATGTATACAAGCTGTACTTGATTTCCATCACTCAAACATATATACCTGGTACAACAAGGTTGACTCGTACTCCTCGAGAACCAATCTCTTGTGCTAAAGACTTTGTAAGACCAACTAATCCTGCTTTAGATGCAGCATAAACAGCCTGCCCTCTGTTTCCTTTCATCCCCACAATACTCCCTTAAAACAAAGACAAAATGTAAGAAAATAAATGCTTGATAATGCTTCTAGATCTCATTACAAGTATCAGTTATCATAAAGGTTTACCATTCATACGTCAATTACACAGGCCTGTGATGGTTTTACTGTCTTGAAATTTTTACATGTTCTACAGAAATTCCTGTACGTTGAATCCGAAGATGATATCCATTTTTATCCATCACATACCAATTTTTTACAAAACGTCATAACTCAATACATAAAAGAAAAAAACCACAACACGTAGTTTTGAGACTAAAAGACGCAAGTTTCACAAAAAAAATCAGGATGAATATTTGTTTAACATCAATGTTCTTCCCTTTTCTTAAGTTTGTTTATATTTTTGTTAACAAACAAAAATCATAATAAATGTTCGTTGTGGTAAACAAAATAATAATTTGATCTAAGTAAGAGTTTTTTTTCTTCTTCCCGATTTGTAAAAATACTTATATGATATAAAAAAATTAATATTATTTTCAAAATCTGTGTAGCTGAATTATGTAAAATCCGTTATTAAAACCCAAACAAGTTTCATAAAGTTTAAATTCGCAGGCCTGTGTAATAATAGAGGTTTACCTTTAGAAACATCAATTATCATAGAGGTTTACCAATCTTTCTGATGTTGTAATTTTTACACGGTGATTCATCTTCTTATGTCGAGGTAAAGAAAGATAGCTTATGTTTTCAGTGAAACAGTATTAACAGGAACTTCTAACTGACTGTGGTTTCTTAAATTACCATATATTATCTTTCAACAACAACGAAAAGGACAGTTTGACAGCATCAAGCCAATTCACTATGATCTGAAGATCAGTTTTCACACACAGTTCCCAACAACAGCAAAGGCATCTTAAATATATTTCTAAATTCTTGATAACCATTTAATAATCTAGTACGATACATGGTTAACTGAAGGAGGCATTGATTACACAGTTAAAATTAAATTTATGATACAAGTTTTCATTTAATTCTTGTATTCAATACCAGTTTGTTTTTGTCATAAGATTACTATTTGGTAACTTTGAGTCTGGAAAATTAAATGATTCTCAGAACCAAGCTTTATTTTCACATGATTTATTCAACCTGTAACATTTTGTCTTGAAGAACATTCTTAATATTGGTAAGTGTTGATAGAACCATACTTGTG